TGGGGCTCATGGAAGCCACGTTGAAATATGACCTAGAACACAAGGGAGTATCTGACTGAAGCAAGGAGGATCATCTCAGTCTATTTGGCCAGCTTATCAACAACCCAAGACCGAGTGGCTTACAGAGAACTGACCTTCATGTTTGTACACACCGGAAGTGGGAAGTCTGAGTCCAGGGTGCCAGCATGGTTGGGTTCTGGTGAGGACCCTCTTCCAGGCTGTGCATGGGAAACTTATTATCGTATCCTCACACAGCAGAGAGACAGCAAGTGAGCTCACGGGCCTCTGCTCCTACAGGAACAGTCCCATTCACAAGTACTCTACTTTCATGGCTTGATTGTCTCTCCAAAGTCCCGTCTCCAAATGCCATCACACTGAGATTAAGATTTCAACTTATGAATACTGAGGCAACACAAACGTTCAGTCCATTACTTGTGAAACGGGAAGAAAAGGGCTAAAGGTGTAGGGAAAGTAGGAAGGGTAGGGGAAAGGTAATAAGGAAAAAGAAAAAAATGTGAGAAAATGGAAATAAAGTGTTTGTAAATGGGGAGGAGAGGAGAGGGTGAAGGGAGGGCAGGGACAAGGGGAAAAAATGAGAACCAAGACCTGTCATGTAAAGGTACAAGATCCCAATGATGAATGTAACTGTACTGTATACGTAAAAAGTACCAATAAACTCAATAAAAAAAGAAAAAAAATAAGTGTATTCCATCTCAGAAGGCCCAAGGGTTTTAATTTATTCCAGCATGAGCTCTACAGTCTAAAGAGCAAAGCTCATCAAAATATCATCTGTGTCAGACATGGGTGAGACTCAAGGTATGATTCCTGCTGAGCAAACTTCTCTCTAGCCGTGAACCCGTGAATCCAGGCAAATTGTGTGGTTCCTAAATACAGCGGTGGTGCAGGCACGGGATAGACAGTCTCATCTTAAAAGGAAGAAAGAGGTGAGAAAAAAGGGGTGACAGTCCCAAGCAAGGCCAGCACCCAGTAGGGCAACCTCGTGAGTTCCCAAGGCTGGAGAGAATCGTCTTCTGCTCGAGGCTCGGCCCTCCAGGCCCACTGGAGCAGCACCGCTGCCTTCTGGATACACCAGAGCAGGAATGCCGCCACACACCAAATCTGCTGAGAGGGGATCTTGCCCCTGTAACCTCTGCCAAGGCTGGGGTTACACACCCAGAGCTCTTCCAGAGGGCTGTGCCCTCACAGCTTTGGGTAGAGCACAGCTGTGTTGAAATAAGGCTATGTTCCTCACTCACTACGCACACACACACACACACGCACACACACACTTCTGAAATGGAATAGGCAGCCCTAGTGATTTTTGTTCTACTTTTTGGCAACTTTGGCTTGTCTATCTTTAAGATGAGTGCACCTCAAGCGGGGTGGGGTGGCACACACCTGTAATCTCACCACTGTGGGACACTGAGCCAGAAGTATTCCAGTTTGAACACAGCCTAGGCAACTTACCAAGACTCTGTCTCTGTGGCTGGGGATTTAGCTCAGTGGTGCTGCCTGCCTCACAAGCACAAGGTCCTGAGTCTAATCCCTGGTAACAGAAAAAAAAAAGACTGTGTCTCAAAGAAGGGGCTGGAATATGGCTCAGTGTGAAGGCCATGTGTTCAATCAAGTACCCCAAAAGGGAGGGGGGAGCACACATCCTCTATAATTATATCCTATAAAACACAAGAAGAGGCCGGGCATGGTGGCGCATACCTGGAATCCCAGCACTTGGGAGGCTGAGGCAGGAGGATCGCTGTGAGTTTGAGACCAGCCTGGGCTACACAGTGACTTCCAGGTCAGTCTCAACTACATAGTGAGACCCTGTCTCAAAAAAACAGAAAAAATAACAAAACACACACACACACAAGAAGAGCCTGCCTTCATTCCTTCCCACCTCTTTCTCCTTACCCACCCTAACCTTAACAAATGGTTACATAGCCACACCTTTAGTAATCTTTTTGAACACACTTCCAAATTTTCTGTCCTGTGGATTAGCTGAGAGTTTTCCAAATTGTTAGGGTCTGGTTCCTTTATGCTTAATTTTATGCTTTTATTTTCAAGTTATTTTCCTTTGCTCAAAGTTGACTACGAACAGCCAGAAGGAAGCAAGCCAGACCTGCAACACTGCTGAGAAATCTCCCCAGCTAAATACCCAATTTCACTGCTCACGAGTTCCACCTCCTACAAAGTGCTAGAATGCAATCACAAGTCAGCCAAGTCCTTTGCCTTTATGTGACAGAGATAATCTTTATCTGTTACCCAATTCCTTCAATGCCGTCAAAGACCTCATCATAACGATCTTGCCACCCATGTTGCTACCCACATTCTGTACGTGATCATGTGTAGTCTCTAAGATGGAAAGTGTGGCTATACTCTGCTCATATAAACCTTTTCTAAAAGAATATTTCACCCTTCACTCAACAGTTCCCATCATGAAATAAAAAAATCAACAGGCAGCACAAATGCCAGGATCAAATGCTGAAAGTGAAGAGATAAACAGGTTGTAAAAACAGACCGCAGAGGAACCAGATACTGAGGTTTTCAGATGTAGATTTTAAATTAACAGTGATTGCTGGCTGCGGTGCTGTACACTTGTAATCCCACTTTCTCAGAGGGTGAGGCTGGAGGACTGAGAATTCAAGCCCACTGGAAACCCCAAATTTGAAAAATACATAGTAGGAAGGAAAACTACAACTGTTAGCTTATTGTACATATCACTAGAGAGAACTAGTGAGATAGAAAATGGGGACATAAGAATATTCAGACTAAAGTAGAGAAGAAAACACATAAAAATAAAAACGTGTATACATACGAGACCAGATAGGAAGTGCTTAATGAATGACATGTAACTGGAGTCTCAAAATAGAGAAGGGAAAGAATGGAGATCTGACAGTTAATCTTGTGTCACTTGAGATCATAATGCCTCATTCTTTGGTGCCATGTTCTGAAAGCTTTTCCCCCATTCCTCACAGATACGGAAGGACCGCTGATTACTTAAAGTTACAATGTGTTTAGGGAACTAAAACATACAGAACTTTACATGACAACATACATAACACAAAAAGCAGACTGTTACAAGTAGACTATTACTAGAAATATTTTACAAGTTAAAAAAACTTGCATATATATTAAAACATAAAAAAAGATATTAAGGTCATTTAAGAGGAAAATATAAAAATATTTAAATTTGCATGCATCCATAAATATAGCCTCAGGAAAATAAAATTAGAGAAAATGAGAATTAATAAAATCCATAATCATAGAGGAGATTTTAATACACTTCTCTGTTATTGAAAGAAAAAGCAGGCCAAAACTTAGTAATGACATAGGAAATGGTTTGAGTATGATGAACAAACTCGAGCCAACAAAAATACACAGAGCAATGTAACCAACTACAGCAGGGTACTTGTTTTTTCAAAAACACATGGAATGTTTACAAAAATAAACCACATACTGTGCCAGAAAGCAAATCTTAAATCTAAAAGGACTATTAACATACAAATATACCCTTGGACCACAGCAAAATTAAGCTAGAAATAAATATCAACATAATTAGAATATCTCTACATACTGGGAAAGTAGAATATAATTTAAATAATGCATGAATCAAAAAATGAAAATGGAAAGTTTCAATTATTTTGAGCCAAATGATAATGAAAACATGAGCAAAAACATGTAAGACACAAATCATGCAGTGTAATCAGTGAAGCTTATAAGTTTAAGACACGAGAAATGAAGAAAAACTAAATATCAATTACTTAAGCCAGAAATTAGCAAACTGCAATGCTATGCCTTGTATCTAGATGTCCTCCCAAAGCCTCACGTGCGCATAGGTGAGGCTTTTCCAAGGTGGTTGGATCTAGGGTGTGTAAATATAGATTAATATAAATAGAGATTAATTGGATTAATCCACTGACTGGTTTAGCATAGTTGTGGGTGTGGATAATAGAAAGCCCCACCCGGGGTCTGGGTGGCAACAACCAATAGGCTTGTAGCCTGAATGGAACAGAAAGCAAAAGATGGAAGGTAGATGCTTTCTGCCCACCCTGCAATAGATAGTTTCTCATCCACCATGTTCCTCTACCATGCCACCCTTCCTTAGAGGCAGCCAACTATGAACAGAAACCTCCACAAACTGTACGCTAAAGTAAATCTTTCCTTCTTTTACTTGTGTCAATAGCTTGTCACAGTAATGAGAAAAGTAACCAACACATGCATCTGTCAACTAAATCCAAACCACCTCCTGGTTTTATAAATAAGTTTTATTGGAACAGAACGATACTCATTTGTTTATGTATTAATCATCACTACTTGTTACTATTACACCAGAATTGTACGGTTATAACTACATAGTCTGAAAAACCTAAAAGATTTACTATCTATGTCTTCACTGAAAAAACAGCCAACCCCCAATATAAAATTTCTAATCCTTGGGGCTGTGGTAGAATGCTTATCTAGCAAGTGTGAGGTCCTTCAGTCCTCAGCACCAAAAAACTTAAAAAACAAAAAAAGCAAAATAAATAAATAAATTAAAACTAAGTTCTGGGATGGGGATGTAACTCATGGTATAGCACCTCATGTGCAAGGTCTTGGGTTCAATCTCAAGCACAGAGGGTGGGGGGCAAAAGAAAAAAAAGTTTTATTGTAAAAATTGACAAGTTCTAAATTTCATATAAAACATATGAGTATATGAAAATATAATCAGTTAACAGCAATGAAGATAATCTTGAAAAATAAGCACAAAATCAGATGGCTAGAACTACCAGAAAATAAGCCTTTATAATGAAATTAGTATAATTAAAATATTTGAGTAATTATGTAAATATAAACAAATATCACAAACTAAACAGAGCCCAGAAATAGACTCATGCATATTGGAGCATTTAGTTTAAAACAAAGTTGCTACTATAATGCAACTGGGGGTAGAGAAAATTGTTTCAAAATTGACATTGACCAATCAGAAAGCCATAGAAAAATAAATTAATTCTTTGACCCCCTACCTTACACCATACACAAATTGGCTCTACATGGCATCCTTGCACAGAAATTCATTCCAGATAATTGCAGACCTAAATGTGAAAATCAAAACAATGTTTTTGGACAGTGAGACAGAAAAAGATTTTTATCTTCCAAAGTTGGGATATGTAAATGTATCAGTGGTTTCTTGGACATTTGTGCCAGAAAAAATGAAAACTTCATATAAACGCCTGTATGTGAATGCTCCTAGGACATAATTCATAATAGCCTGAAACTGAAAACTCAGATGTCCTTTGGTGGGGGAATAATTAGAGAAGCTGTGATCCTTCCATACCATGGGCTACTACTCAGCAATAAAAAGGAACAGGCCACTGATACATGTGACAACTTGAGTGAATCTCAAGGGATTTATGATGAGTGTTAAAGATAATTCCTCAAAGCATACACTATTGCACACTTCCATTTATAGAATTTTCATATGTGGTACTGAGCGTTAAAGCCAGAGCCTCACATGCCAGAGCTAAACCACCAGCCCTAGGACATTCTCAAAATGACAAAATTGTAGATTTGGAGATGAAATTTAGGGGTTGTAAGCAGTACAGTACAGGGTGAGGGAGAGATGTGGTTAGGAAAGGGATGAGGGATCCTTGTGGTAATGGAGCTTTTCTGTATCTTGACTGGACTTAAATTTATATTAAAATTGCATAGAACTAAACACACACACACACAACTGAGGCAACCTGAATAAGACTGGTAGGTTGTACCAGTGTTAATTTCCTGAAAGTGATATTGTACTACAGCTTTGCAATGTGTTCCCATGGGAGAAACTGGACAATGGGCCGAAGGTTGTACATGATCTCTGTGTTATTTCTCTGTGCAAGAATCTACAATGATCTTTCATATGAGTCAGCCAGCCAAGGCAGGTGTTGTCCTGGTTGGCCTCATGCAGGTCAACACCCTAAAGCCTCTGTTTTCTCATCACCGATGTGCAGATAGTTTAGTTCTTACTTTTGTAGCACTGTTGAGGATTATGTCCCTAAGCACAGTACCCTGGACAGTATAAATCTCCCACAAATGGCACCTTATAAAACATTGTCATTGAGACAGATGAGAAGACAGTCAGTGATTTCCTGCCCTCTCCCCAGGTTGCTCCCAAATGAGCCAGAATTCTGGTCTCTGAAGCTGGGTTCTATTTGGTCAGAGGGAACAGGATCAAAAGAGAGAAATCTGGAGGAGGACACACTGGTTTTCTCCCTGTGACAGTGTGTGTATGTGTGTGTGTGTGTGTGTGTGTGTGTGTGTGTGTGTGTGTGTGTGTTGGGGCAGGGGGTATACTAAGAGACAAAGGAAGAAGAGATCAGAGAGCAGATGCAAAAAAGTGCTAAGAAATTCAAAGAGCTGCTGGAAAACAGTGGCGGGGGGCAGGACTATTATGCCCTGGCCCAGATCCTCTGGCTCAGCCATGTCCCCTTCTCCTACCAGAGTGACTGTAGGGGTCTTCTGAGTGCAAGGATATGACAGCTCCAGACAGCACTAAGAGACAAAGGAAGAAGAGATCAGAGAGCAGATGCAAAAAAGTGCTAAGAAATTCAAAGAGCTGCTGGAAAACAGTGGCGGGGGGCAGGACTATTATGCCCTGGCCCAGATCCTCTGGCTCAGCCATGTCCCCTTCTCCTACCAGAGTGACTGTAGGGGTCTTCTGAGTGCAAGGATATGACAGCTCCAGACAGCAAAACGTACTGCACAGACATCTGCAGATGCTGATGGGGGTGATGGTAATGACGATTTCTGTAACTGTAGTTTTAAAAAGCCCTCTGGAATCATTTCACATGCTGTACTGCCCTGGCTGGCTTCTTGGGGCAACTCTTTCTTTGTCACTCTCCCAATGCCCACTGCCAGCGCTCAAAATCTAGTCCTTCAGAGCAAGAAGTGCCTGCAGAAGTCCTCTTGGTCCTGACTTCTCCAAGGTGACCAGCAGGAGCACCTACATCACTCAGGAGGCTGTTAGGAGTGCAGAGTCACTGGTGCACCCAGACATCTGCATCAGACTCTACACTTTACAAGATCTTCCCATGAATTGTTTGAGGAGCTCTGGTCCTGTCAAGCCTTCTTGTTTTCTGGTGAGGAAACAGCAGCGCAGAGTGGCTGAAGGACTGACTCAGTCACAGAGCTTGCATCACAGCTGAAACTAGTACTTCAACTCCTGGGTGCTTGGATAGTGGCCTTTGTTCAGCAGACTTTGAGCAAACTGGCTTGAGATGCAGAAGAACTGCATGCCTCTGTGAGAAGGAGAGTCCTTGGTCTTCAGTCCTGAAAGCAGTTCTGGTGGAAAACATTGCCCCTTGGTGACCTTGTTTAGCTCAAGATTTGTGCACAGTTAAGAAGAAAGAGCACCTAACCTGCAGACCTATGTAAAATCTTACCTCTTCTGGGGAAGGCTCCACAGAAGCTAAAGGTTTACAATGACTCAGACCTCTCCTTGTCTCCATGTTCTCATCTGGAAAAGCTGCTTCTTCCTGAAAACTGTGCACTGAGCACCTGCTATATGCCATTGCCTTGTCCCATGTGTTGCAATGGCACATGCAGAGGAAGGTCATAGCAGTGTCTCTGAGAACCTTGGTGAAGGTCCTTATATATGGAAAAACCAGAACAACACCAGCTACCATAGCTGGAAACATCTGCTCAACCCCACTCACCAGAGCAGGCCTGTAGAGTCTTGCTTCATCCCTGAACCCAAATGGGCCAGGGGAGGAGAGCACTGCAAGGGCTTCACACTAGAAATTTCCAGGCCTGTATTCATTTCCCTGAAGGCAAAACCAAGGTCCAGAAAGGGGCAGAGACTTGCTCGGGGACACATATCCGAAATAGCACCATAGTACGGACTGAATGTTTGGGTCTCCCACAAAACCTCAGTGTGCTGGTATTTGTAGGTGGGGGCCTTTGGAGGAAGTAGGTTTGATGAAGTGGTGAGGATAGAATCAGTACCTTTATAGAAAGAGACTAGAGCACTAGGGTGAATGTTTGGGTCAGGATTAGGATTAGAGGTAAGCTTGCCTATACCTGTTTGCCCCATGAGGACATGGCAAGAAAGAGGACATTTGCAAGCCAGGATGAGAGTCCTGCCCAGAAATGGAAGCCTCCGGCACCTTGGTCTTGGACTTTCAGCCTCCAGAACTGTGAAAATTAAATGCCTGTTGCCTGAGCCACCTAGTTATGTGTTGTGTGACAGTTGCCAGAGTTAACTGAGCCATGTCAGGACTTCTCACCCCCTTTCTGGTACGTTTTGTGCCTTGTGTCCCTCTCCCCAATGAGATAGTCACAGTTCAACCAATACCCACAAGGGTCCTCCCACCAGGACTCCCAGTGAGTGGCAGAGAAGAAACTGACAGCCTAGCAAAGGCTGCGAGAATCTGAGCAAGATGGAGGCCCCATTCTATGGGTGTAGGCCCAGGTGGGCAGGGCCATTCTCCCACTACCTAGGCAAAGGCCTGGGCACAAGCCTCTGGGAGAGCTTTCCAACAAAAACTCTGGAGACTTGGAAAAGGGATTCTTGGTTTCAGCAGGAGAAAGCAAACAGCAGTCAAAACTAATAAATGTTTAATTAAATGTCCACAGAAGGTACCACTGTGTCAACATCATTAAATTGCTCAATGAATTATCCCTAAAAATCTCGTTACAGGTGAAAACGATTTAAATTTTCTCACTTTGTAGGAATTTCCCAGTACCCTTAATTATTCCTAAGAGATCAGAGCCATTATAAATTCGTGCCTTGTAGACAATTAAAAACAAAATCAAAATACATTTTAAGAAGTCCTTTTTGAGGAGGCTGTTTATAATGCATGAAGTATTGCTGTGTTTTTAAGCATTTACTATGAGGGCTGTGCCTGGTTCCCCAAAGCAAAGCTATAGACTGGCCTACAGTCACCACAGCCCCGTGTTGCATCTCCTATGGACAGCAGCAGGGACGCTGCTAAGCAACAGGGATTCTTTTAGCTCCTATACACTGCCATCCTACCTGCTCTTAGCAGAAATGTTGTGCAGCATGTGACTGTTTCAACGGGCCATCTTTTCATAATCAAAACAAATGCAAAAGGAAAACTCCACAAGATAAATGAAATGGCCTGGCATGGTGGTGCATGCCTGTGATCCCAGCCCTCGGGAGGCAGAGGCAGGAGGGTTGCTACAAGTCCAAGGCCAGCCTGGGCTACATAATGAGTTCAAGGCCAGCTGCACTCAAAAGTGAGACCCTGTCTCAAAACAACAACTGATCCTTGGTACAAAAATAAAAAATGAAAACAAGATAAATGAAATGCCAGAAATTAAAGCAGGCTCCGAGGCCACTGAGGCTGCGAGCTCTGAGCCCTGGAAGTCGGGCCTGCGCCTGTCTCTCCATTTTGTCATAGGCCATGTGTCCCGCACGGCTCTGAGCTCTCAGGAGGGACTGGGTGGATCGAGCTAAGGAGTTAGACAAGCGCCTTGCTCGCAGACCACACTTGCATTCCTCACTACTGCCGAGGCGCAGGAAAAGCTGACAGACGCCACACCGCAGGCGCAAACCCAGCCAGACCGCACCAACTAAATCGCAGCGCCTCGCCTCCCAGTGGCCTGGAGTGGGGACTGTGTTGATCCCCGCCTTTGTGGCCCTTCCCGCCCCGCCCGTGGTCTACTCCACCCTGCCTGCAGCGACCCTTCTAGGTGTGGCCCCACTTCAGGGCGTGAGGGACCCGGCCAGGCCAGACGTCCTGACGCAGTGGCAGCCGCTGTCCGGAGGTGTCCACGGAAATGAGAGGACGCGGGTGTCTGCGCTGGCTGCTTACCTGGGCCCTGTGGGGGTGCGGGAGCCTTCCCAAAAGGGAGCAGTCCTGTGAAACGTTTCGTTCATTTCGAGCTGAGGCCAACTGCATGATTATCTTTATTTATCTTCTCTTTTTAGTGTATAAGTAAAATACTGGAGGGCCGCCTGGAGTAGTGACATAAAGTCACCGCACAGACATTTGCTTGGGCCTGCGGGATCCGCTCAGTTTCAGGGGAAAAGCCGAGAGCATGCGTGCTTGCGTGCGTGTTAGGGGAGGGGGAGGACATTCTGAGAAAG